TGCATAAATTATTAATAACTTAATGGAAAAACAAAAGAAAACCATACCCAAGATTACCAATTCATCATATAAAACCATTATCTTTTAACTTTTGGTGTCAAAACCTTCATATTCTCTTCATTTCCTGTTGAAATACACAGTGATTATGTTAAATTGTCCTCGACATAAAAAGCTGTCAAACTTACAGATTACCTTTTAATAGTACAATATAAAAGGGCATATTTGTCATTTTTATAATATAAAAGGGCATAGTTGTCATTTTCTAATATAATAGGACAGAGTAGTCATTTCTAATATAAAAGGGCATAATTGTTATTTTCTACCTAAATGATATGTTTAATTTATATTTGACGGTAAAAAACATAATTAAAAATTATATAACCGATAGAAATTGATAAATGACCATATTTCTATTAAAATGGCATATTTGTCATTTTTATAATATAAAAGGGCATAGTTGTCATATTGTAAAAGGGCAGAGTTGTCATTTTCTTCCTAAATGATAGCTTGAATTTATATTTGACAGTAAAAAACATAATTAAAAAAAATATAGCCAACAGAAAATAAACAATGGCAGTTTTTCTATTAAAAGGGTATATTTATCATTTTTATAATATAAAATGACATAGTTGTCATTTTCTAATATAAAATGGCAGAGTTGTCATTTTCTAATATAAAAGAGCAGAATTGTAAAGACTGTTATGTTTTAGGATGCCGATCTATTTCAACCACTCTGAATGAATTTGCAATAATTAGTTTGAAATAAGTTACAAGAATGGTATTGTTTGGTTTTTTCACTTAAGCATTGTACTCAAGTATAGCTAAATTCTCTATATTCAACAATAACATCCTGTTTTAAAATGGTGGAAGTGACCAAATTTACAGAAATTATCATTGTTTAAATAAATTTAGAGAAGTAGTCCATGTACAAAGTACAATGTCATAATAAAAAAACGAAGGTAAAATGCAATTGACATTCTGACCTAAAAATGGTTAAAAAAAAACAAAAAAGAGAAAAAGGTCGAAATCATCATTTTTAGCGAAGAAATTATACCTTGGGTATATAGTTTTTAACATTTCATAAACCTTTTTAAAAAATAAAAACTTTCCATGTCTGGTACAGTAGTATATGTCCCTAAAACGTAATACATATTTTCTGAAAAACCTTGCATAGACCTGGTATTACTAAGAGTAGACATAACTTTTTTTTTTTAAAAAAATCATTTTTTAAAGTAGAATGCCATTTTGAAAAACCTTGCATATTTTCTTAAAAAACCTTGCATAGACCTGCTTCCATAAGTTTATGACATGAACTTTGAGACTCAAATCATCCTTGAGTACGTCTATATTTGCTTTTAAAGTAAACTTTGATGCAACCATATATCTGCAAATATATGAAATTATATAAGTTTGATGCCAATTAAATAGTTATTAGGCATTTTTAAGTACAAATAGGATGAACATAAAACAAACAATGAAAACAAATGGCAAGATTAATAGAAAAGGGCATACCTGTGATTTTCTATGTCAAAGAAATTTGACCTTTTTTCTTTTTGGCTAAAACACTGCCATACATAAAAGTTATTTGGTATAAAATTATATAAATATGAGAAGCAATGTACTTTTACAATGCTATAATTTTTAAAACATGAAATATGCTAAAGCAGTTATTTGCTAAAAAACTGCCATAGAAGACAAACCACAAAAAACGTAAGTATATGCAAAAGAATAATGCTCTATTAGGAATTACCTTATATTTTTTTATAAGATAATATAAAAGGGTATAATTGTCATTTTATATTAAAAATAGAAAGTTGACAGTTTTATTGTTTGTTGTTGGTACATGATATTGTCATAAGCATATTCAAAAGCAGGTTACCTGATGTGAACAAACATTTATTTGGTATAATATAATATAAAAGGGCAGAATTGCCATTTAAAAAAACAATAATTATAGTTTTATAAACGACAAATAAAAGAAAAGGTATATGTGCTATTACTTAGAAACTAATGTAAGTATCAATAAGTATCTATCACAATGAGCTAATTGAAATCGTGAACAGAATCAATTGGTATCTGTGTTATTTCTTAGAAATTAATGTAAGTAGAATGCTATGAATGGTCTAAATTTAAAAGTAGAACAACAATCAAGATATTTAAAATAAAAGACACATTAATGCTTTCATTTAAATCGTGAGTATAGTATGCTATTATGCTAATAGTTATAGACCAATCAACGTTTGTTCATATACTTTAACTTAATTTATTTAATGTGTGTGCCTATAAGATATTACATACACAAAGGAACAAACATAAATGCACATATATGTTTATACAATGGTACATAAGAAGGGTAATAGAAGGAGTAGAAGATAGAAATAATCAAAATAAGGAAAAATAATAAACAAATAAAAAAATCGACATAGCTGTTTGGAGGATGCTTTACCAGAATTGCACAGATGAAGAAGCAGATATGAATCAAATGAGAAAGACGACAAATGTTGGAAAAAAAATTTAGGGGTTCGGTATTTATAGGTGCAATGAGTAGGTGAAGATAATATTGTAATCTTAATTGCATTCCTATTGTGGTTGCTGTAAATTTGGTAAAAGATTAATGAATTCAAAATTATTGCTGATTATATGGGATATTGTTGATTTTGTTCCTTATATATGATGATATTTTTATAATGTATTTGAAATTGAATTTGAATGCAGAGATAATATGGTAACCGAATTGCTGATTAATAGGTGATGATCTCTATTCGTCAAAGAAGCAATGAGCGGGAAAAGAGTAGATAATAGAGCTGCAGTAATGACACGTGGAAAGATGCAGGTGTAAGAGGAGGACACGTGGCGCTTTAAAGAGTCTTTTATTAGGAAGATATATATATATATATATATATATATATATATATATATATATATATATATATATATATATATATATATGGGTTTTTTTTCTTTGTGGAGTTTTTACCTAAAAGAAATAAGAAAGTAAATGAAGACCGTTTCACAGTAAAATATGGTATTTTTGTAAGCCCAAAATGACTTTTTCTATGTCTCCTTGCAAATATATGTGAAATTATTGACTATTTAAGTGAAGGCTACTTTTGTTTTTGTTTTTTATCATAACTCTTTTATATTGTCTTTAGTAGTTAAAGGATTTGTCAGGAATGGTAGATGCTAGTTTCATAAATATCTATTTTAATCGATCATATTTTTTACATTTAAAATCCATAATTGCTTGTAAGTTGCATTTAAAAAAAATCAACTCATAACCAGTTTAATCATTACCATATGCTTTTGAGGATCGTAGTTGTACAAAATTGATAAATCGACACCCAATTAGGGTGGTAAAAATCGACATGACACGATAAAAATATATGACACGAAACGAAATTGAGACATAATCAAATTTCAAATTCATGTTCGTGTCATGTATAAGAAACACGATATTGTGTCCTTTTCGGATTTCGACACGATAACAGATGGAAATGTCATGTTCATGTTCAAAAGTTATGTATATTTAGTAGCATTCTATGATATTTTATGTTATTTTTTTGTGTTATTCATGTTCAATTTTTTTTACAAGAACTTATGCATAACATTATGCAAAAGGTTATTTTTTGCTCTTTTTGTGATGCTATTGTGTTTTCGTATTTTATTTAGTTGTGTTCGTGTTAACTAAAAAAACATTATCGTGTCGTGTAGTGTTCAGATTAAGAAATAATAATGTGTGTCGTGTCATGTTAGGTAAAAATATGGAACGGCTGCCCGATTTGCCACCCTACACCCAAGTGGTTAAATACGACAGTGTATCCATGGATACTTAAATTAACTTATCGATGCAATTTTATTAAACTTCAAAATAACTTTTCTCTATTTGGATATCGGTTCATGTTAAGAATTTTCCCGAAGCAACCAAGTTTTCTTGGGGAGGTAACGGTGATTCTCAAAAAAATGCATTAGGTGAAGTGAGATCTAGTGTTGGCTTCTAAGGAGAACAAAGGTCTTGGTATTGATAGCTTGGAATCTTTTAACTATGTTATGCTTCAAAAATGGAGATGTGGATTTGTAAATGAAGATGGAGCTTTGTAAGTGAAAGTGTTGAAGGTATTATGTGAAAGTGAATGATAGTGTTCAGATAGGAGGTTCCCTATTTCAAGGTCATGAGGTGTGGGCAAGAGTAGTGGCTTTTTACGTTTATGATGAATAACAAAGGTATTATCTCGTTTTCCAATCTTAAAAAAAGGGCTGGAAATATTGATTTTAGTAAGTTTTGAAATGATGTTTGGGTTGGTAACGTTACACAAAGTTGTATTGTTTGGAAATTGAAAACGAGTGATTGGTAAAAAAACGGAAATATTTGAAAGATGAAATTGACGACCCAAAATCTCTGGTGGGGTCGGCAACGCATCAAGAAGGGTTGGTGGGTCTTATTAAGGATCACAAACAATCTCACTAGTGATCGAGATATATGAATTTGGGAGTTGGATGTTTCGAATAACACTACAATAAATTATACTAGAAAGTTTATTGATGAGTATAATATAGTGTCCATTAATGGTGATATAAGGTGAAATCTCACTAGGGACTGGGGCTGGTGGGTCTTATTAAGGATCACAATCTCACTAGTGATCGAGATAAATAAATTTGGGAATTGGATGTTTCAAATAACATTATATAAATTATAGGGTTTTTGACACTGTAGCACATTAATGTTTAGCCAATTTGACACTGTACCGGCTAATTACCCCCTTATGCACCCGGTAAACGGAACAACCGGTGGTATTGCTTACATGGAATAAGTTTACATTATATATGTCATTTATTTTATCCACGTAAGATTTAGAAGTCAAAATAAACACATTTATTTAGCCACAACTACACTCATTCTTCGTTCTTCCTTTTTCTCATCTCACAGTGATTACGAAGCACTAAACCTAGGGTTCGAAGTCGTTTTCTCCGATCGAAGTCAGTGAGCGGTCAACCAACCCACAATGTCTAGCTCGACGCCAAACCCTGATGGACTCTACCCTATAGTGGATTTGAACTTCAAAGGTGTTTTTCTTAGAAATCCTTTCTCGTATAACCATGGTATCAATTTCACTTTCAATGATCACGATTTTTCTGGAATGACATACGGTGAATGTATCACCTTTCTCGAACGGTTCATGCAAGAAAGTATAAAGAAGTTATACTACTGTGAACCAAGTAAGCCCTTAATATCTGGGATAACTGCTATTGTTAATGATGAAGACTATGTTGGTTTCATTTTTCAATCATATTGGACAGATGGTAAAATTTGTATGTATGTTGACCATGATGGTCAAGGAATAGAAGATTGGTTTGGTTCTGACGTAGAAGAGGAGGATGAAGATGATTCATGCATTGATGGTGGTGAGAATGAGGACGAAATTAATAGCCTAATAGCTGTGGATGTGGACTTTAATGAGGACATAGTCACTATGAATAGGACAAAGGGTGATGAATTTCTAAATAGATTATGTGCCGAAGAGGAAGAGGGAAATGATAACAACATAGATGATGATGATGGGCATGAAGAGGATGCTAATGTAACTCAACAACATTCCATTTTTAATGAGTTAGTTCCATGGAAAAAGCAGTTCCCAATACTTGGTATAAGGTTCAAAGATCCAGCTCAATTAAAATCAATGTTATGCAACTATGATGTTGCAAATGGGTACCAACTTTGCTTTTAGAAAAATGATAGGAAAAGAATGTTGGTTAAGTGTTGCAAGGGTGAGTGCACATTCATGTTGTGGGCATCTTGGATGAGTGATGAATCAAGCTTCCAAATTAAGTCTTTAAAGCCAGTCCACAAATGTGCAAGGAATTACAAGTTAGGGTCCATGGTCACTTATGCTTGGATAGGGAGTCATTATACAAGAGAGTTCTTACTTAGACAAAAGATGAGTGTTAGAAAGCTAAGAACAGTTGTGTCACAGAAGTTTGGTATTCATGTTAGTGTTGGTCAATGCAGGAGAGCTAAGAATTATGCACTCCAACTAATAGATGGCACCTTAGTTGAACATTATGCAAAGTTATGGTCGTATGTAGAAGAGATTAGGAGATTAAATCCAGGTAACACTGTGAAGCTTGATGTAAATCATATGCCCGATGGGAAGAACTACTTTAGTAAGTTCTATGTTTGCTTTGATGCAGTGAAGAAGGGGTGGAAGGAGGGATGCAGGAAAATAATAGGTTTAGATGGTTGTTTCCTTAAAGGGATCTGCAAAGGAGAGTTATTATGTGTTGTTGAAAGGGATGCAAACAATGAGATTTATCCTATTGCATGGGCAGTAGTATGTGTGGAGAATAAGGAAAATTGGAGGTGGTTTTTGGATTTACTCATTAATGACTTGGGACTTAACTTAGGCTATGGATACAGTGTAATATCGGATCAACACAAGGTAATTTAATTGTTTGTAATTAATTTCCCTATCTATTTGCATCCTTATTCACTACATTTTCTATTTGTTAACAGGGTTTTATTGAGGATGTGAAAGAACTCCTTCCATATGTAGAGCACAAGCAGTGTGCCAAGCATATTAGCCAAAACCTTACGAAAAGGTATAGTGGTGCCCAATATGAAAGAATATTCTGGAAGGTATGTAAAGCAACAACATAGGTAGATTTTAAGGTTGCCATGAAAGAGCTTGAAGTGCTAGACCCAAGTGCTCATCAGTATCTGATGGACAAAGACCCCAAGAAATGGTCAAGGGCCTACTTCCAACCAGGAAGATGTTGTGATGCTGTGGAGAATGGAATGTCATAAAGTTTTAATGATGTGATTGTTGATGCTAGGAAGAAGCCAATTATCACCATGCTAGAGGAGTTGAGGATGTATATGATGGAGAGGGTGTTCAAGAAGAAATGCATGGGTCTAGGATGGGGCAACCAAATTTGTCCAACAATTAGAGAAATAGTGAATGAGATTAAGAAATCTATAAGACATTACCAAGTCTTACCTAGTGGACTAAATCAGTTTGAAGTAAGAGGAACTACAGATGCTTATGAGGTAGATCTTAAAGAAAGAACTTGCTCATGCAGGCTTTGGCAGCTTAACGGAAATGGTTGTGTTCATTCTGTTGCAGATATTAGTTATATGAATAGGGATGTAGAGTCATATGTGGACAAAATGTTTAGTAACATCACTTACATGAAGGCATACAAGTTTAGGTTAGCAACTATGAATGGAAGTAACTTGTGGCCTGCAACTGATTATACCCCACCTTTACCTCCTGTTCATAGAACTATGTCTGGGAGACCTGCAGCTAAAAGGAAAAGGGATGCAACAGAAAACCCAAACCAGTCAAGTAAAAAATCAAAGAAAACTACCCAAACACAAAACAAAGGTACGAAGCAGGTGAAGGTATCCAAGGCTGGGAAAAAAATGTAGCCTTTGTAAGATTAAACGACACAACTAAAGAGCTTGTACTCTGATAAGGCATCCTAAAATAAAAGCTAGAAGAAAAACAAAACATGTAAATAAGTATTTAAATGGTTAATCTTTACAATTTCTTTCTTAATTTCTAATAATGTTTCATATTGGTCAATCATGGTGGTGCTCAAGCAGTCAATGAGGGTGATGAAGGTAATGCAATGAATGCAGGTAATCAAGGTAATGCAATGAATGAAGGTGATGAAGTGAATGAGGGTGATCAAGCAGTAAATGATGATGGAGGAGCAGTAAATGATGGTGGAGAAGCAGACAGTGAGGTGCATGTGCAACAACACTATGATGAGGTGGAACTCACTCCTTTGGAGTTTGATGCATCAGGAAATGGAGAACCTAGTCAGGTTCATGTGTAAGAACAGGAGGCTAGAGAAACACCAGTTGCAACCCTTTTGAAGAAAATCGGGAGGATAAATCTGAAAGGATTATCAAGTTGAAGCTGGGCAAGAAAGTTGGTGGTGCAGATGCACCTGGGAATTCAGAAGCTAAACATATTACTCTAGAATAAGTTTAAGTGTTGGTTTATGTGACAACCCGTAAATTTCTATCTTGTAAAGTCAATCCAATCAATCAAAAGTCAGACTTGTTTCTATTACCTTTATTATGTGTTAAGGGTCTGTTTAAGAGTTTCTAAGCCTAGTACACTTAAGGATTGGATGTTGAGAAGTGTTAGCTTGGGATTAGAGGAAGGCAATCGAACCAGAAAACTCATCAAAGGGTGTTCACGGCCGCAAACTAGGTTCACGGCCGTGAACCCATGTTTGGTCGTGAACCTCTCTCCATATATGTACATTTCTTTCATTTATTCCTCATTTCGTCCATCCTTGGTCGTAAACCTCTCAAGTATCATCCAACAAAGGCTCTCATTTCACTCCAAAAACGTAAGTATCTCATCTCTTCTTGTTGTTCCTTGAAATCCCTTACCTTTCCATCTTGATTCATCATCTTTCCATCACTTTTCCTCAAGGATCTTCAAGTTTGGGTCGTGAACCCTTCATGTGTTCATCCTTGGGCCGTGAACCTCAAGTGGGCCGTGAACTATTCTTCAATTTGGGCTGTGAACCTTCATTGGGCCGTGAACCATTCAAGCCCAGCCGTGAACACCCTTTCAGCCTCCTACCTTGCTTCTAACACTCTTTTGGACCTGTTTGTGCCTCGGGACTTCATTCGTGGAACTTATCATCCTTACTCGAATCTTCAATTGAATCACCCACATAAAGGTGATTTCATACCCCTACAACTACACTTTTAAATGCTTTTTAAATGTTTTAGGGGGGAGAGTACAAGTATAACAGAAGAAATGTTGTGTTATGAAATAGAAATTGCTTATTTATGTCTTTGTACCAATGAACTGTATGTAGAACATGGAACTTTGAATAGAACATAGAAATAAGCTTATAAACTTTAATAAGTTTAACTTAAGGAACAAAATGATCTTTTTATAAACTTATATGTCAAATATAAAAAGGGTTTTCCACATTATTACTTGTAAAGTCGTTAATCCAACTTGTGAGACACGTCTTTGAGTACTCATATAAGTACCAGTGAAAGTCTACCCTTACGACCAGAGTCTCCTGGAGGGAGAGCGTGAGTTTGTGTATAGATCTATACGAGATTGACAATCCCACACCTCGCTGTTAGCTACAGCTGGATCGGCAGGTCTGCAGGTGACAAATGTCATATTCTTTTCGACGTCTACAATACGTCGTGGTTAACCGGTCCAATTAGTATGGTCGTAAAACTCACAATAGATAACAACGATATATTTACGTAGTAATATACTTTTCATGAACAAATCTCAAAGGATACTAACTATGTGATTACCCAATGTATACTTTAGGGTTAGATAAAGCTGAAGTCCGATAAACAGTGGAATGTGTGCTTTCCGCTTTACTTCTTGTTCCTTGTTTGGTTGTGGGGCTTATGGCAGATTCACTCATTCAACTGTCTATTCGATCTCGGTTATATGCAATTCGTATGTATTAGGTAATCATAGGAGGGTAGTATCGTCGTATCAGGTATCCAGAACAACCAAGTCTTTATTCAGTTTAACATATCAACAAAACTAGACATCATTGTAGTAAGTATAGGGAGTATACTTGTGCTTTTCAAACTTAGAACAACATGGACATCCAGTCGGTTTTTATAGAAGATATAGGATTTTCTATGGTAAACATCATTCTTTTAAGGTAAACAGTTTTCGATTGAACTTTCTGAAAACAATAGCACTTTTACCAAAAACAACATTTCACAATTGAGTTAGTGAAACTAGAAACTTATTTATAAAAGGGTTTAATACTTCTTATTAAACTAGTATAACATAAAGGACCTTAAGTGGTTAATTCTATAATACCTTAGTTTATACATCAGAGTTATATATAATTAATATCCGATAGGCAGTGGAATGTGTGACTTCCGCCTCATTCCCTGTTCCTTGTTTGGTTGTGGGCTTAGGGCAGATTCACACATTTAACTGTCCGTTCGATATTAGATTATATATAACTAGTATAAACTAAGTGATTATAGAAGGAACTATTGTGGTTACCATTTTACTAAAAGGAAATATATGATTTTCTTAAGGAATGTTTTCTTCAAATATGAAAGAACCATTACAGTTAACTCCGTAAGTACCAAATGAATACGCCAGGGTTATATACAATGAAAATCTGACAAACAATGGGATGTGTGACTTCCGCCTCATTTCCTGTTCCTTGTTTGGTTGTGGGCTTAGGGCAGATTCACACAATTTACTGTCTTTTTACTTTAATTTGTATATAACTTGTATCCATTTAGTACTCATAGAAGGAATTGTAGAGTCATTTTTACTTATCATTCCTCACATAAGAAAATATAGGATTTTCTGGAGGAACAGGCGAACTTTTCTAAAGAACTTAGAATATAACTTTTTGTAATAAAAATTCTTATGAACTCACCAGCTTAAATACTTATCTACTCTTTCAAAATAACTTGTATTCTCAGGAAACTAGTAGACAGATACGCGCACTGGGATTCAAAATATGGAGTATAGTAGCTTCATGTCTTGTTTTGTTATTTACTTTTGGAGTCAATCTTTTGTGAATCACATACATTGTAAACACTTTAATATTAATGCAATGGTTGTTTGTTACTTTGATTACTATGATGCACGTGTTGTGATACTAAGCAAGACGTCCTCCGCCCCCGAACGTTTCCGCCGTTCCGGTTTGGGGGTGTGACAGTTTATGTGATATGAACATGGTATGTAGTGTGAAATGATGTGTTTTGGTGCACTGTTGCTGTTTTTATGAAACTGCTGTCAACTATGTTTGTGTGTATGAAACTATGTTGGTTTATGTGATGTGTATTTTGTGTTAATTAAGTTGGTTGTTATTTTGAGCTTTTTGTTGTGTTAATTTGAAGTTGCATGCATGGCAAGGACTTGTCTGGTTAAACTGCATCGCAAGGGAATATATTTGCATATATAGATAATTTTAAATTGTCATTGATTATGTCCTTATATACCACATGTGGTCAGTGGTCCATATGCCCTTACTAGCCCTTACTTTTCCATATAAACCCCTGCACAGAACTCTAAACACAATGCACTTTTAAACGGACCAAGTGAAATCCTTATGGCCAACACTGTGGTACCCACACTTTAATTTTTAAAAGGAGCATATGCATATTATAAAATTTAGCAATGTATATAACAACTAGGATCTTTCATATCATTCATTGAATCTACAAAAAGTCATTACAATTGTTCCCATGTACTGCCATCCCATTACATCTATATTCCATTACATCTACCATCCCATACACACACTGATCAAACAAGCATTCAACCAAAAACTAACTATACATTACAACTAGGATCTAACCATGACCATATACCCATACACCCATACACTTCCCAAAAGAGCAAACAACTTTTAACATCCACCCATACACTTTCCAAAAACTGCTTGGAATTATATACCATCAACCATAAATACCTATTTGATCAGCTGCACTTTTCAAGGCCATTTCAACCACATGGCAATGACTACAATGACCATAACAAAGATCCCACACTTCAGCAGTCTGTTTTGCTTCATCAACTTCGTCAACTGTGTCTCAAACACTTGCTTATCTGCTTCCATAACTTGCTGCAACTTAACCAACTTCTTTTGAACCTTCGAAACTTCACTAAAGTCTTCTTTCCTTTTTCAGCTCAAACCTCATCTTGCAAAGCTGTTCTTTGTAGTAACCCTCCTCCATTTCTTTGTCTTTCCACATAAAAAACTTGCATTTTAGACCTTCAGCTGACTGATTAAAAAGGAAAACCAGAGTTAGGGTTAGGGTTGCAATTAATGAAAATGTGTACATCCCCAGCTCAAAATAACAAATACGGTGTAAGTAAACAAAAGGAATACTCACCAAAGAATTTTTGCAATTCCAAAACCTGCGAGCTACATTATCGTCGGTCCAGGCAATCCTTTCCATGCTTATTGCGTCTTGACAATCGCAAAGTGGACAGGGGTCATCATCATGAAGGTTTTCGACATGCAGGAGGTTGATCGATCGACTGGAGGAGGCAGGCATTGCTCTGGTTATATCGATTGAGTGTAGAGTATCGGGAGGGAGGCACTAACCTAATTTGGGGTAACAATGTATCGTTGATGGTTCAATATAAGGTTCAATTAAGGAAGGTTTCCATGTTAAAGATGACATGGTCAAATGGTTGTCCACATAAGCCAATACACGTCAGCAGCGACCCTTAAACCGGTAACATTTTCTCCCATTCCTTTAATTAGCCAGTATTTACTAACATTAAGGATCAATTGAGCACAAAAAAAACTTGTGACTAAATGTGCAAATTGACCAAACATTGATGTGCTATGGTGTTAAAAACCCTAAATTATACTAGAAAGTTTTGTATCTGGAAAAGGTAAATATATTAATTTTGAGAGTTTTGTAAACCGTCTCCCAACAAAACCTAATTTGCTCAATAGAGGAGTGGGCGTGCCTTCGTTAATGTGCCCAGTGTGTTCAAATTACATAGAAAATTGGAATAGTTGTTTATTGAATGTGAAGAGTCTCACTTCATAAACTCATAAACAACTATTCAATAAACATTTGACTTAGGATCGGATCGGTTTCAAATCGAGGATCCGGTTCTCGTGTGCATATCTAGGGACACTATTGATATTTTTTAAAGACACAATTTCATAATTGGTCATTGTGGTTTGCAAACTATCTCATTTTAAGAATTTTCATGGAGAACGTCACGCCACTGGTCCTTGTGTTTTGCAAAATTTCGAGAATGGTCATTCTGCCGTTAAATCTAACTTTTCAGCTGTTAGATTTTTATGAAAAAGACTATTTTATCCTTGTACCAAATTTGCAATATACTACAAACCTCAACGACTATTTGTGTAATTTTATAAATTTGAAATTTATATATATATATATATATATATATATATATATATATATATATATATATATAGAGAGAGAGAGAGAGAGTGTGTGTGTGTGTGTGTGTGTGTTTGTGTGTGAGAGAGAGATAATTTCAACAATTTGATAATTTGTTTTTTTTATATTATTTTGACATTTTGTTTTCTATTTTTATGTTATAACTTTAGTTATTTATGGTTTTTTAATGTTCTTATTTATTTTTATTCAAGTAAATATACTTAAACTCGATAAACCATGTCGAAACCGTTTTTTCTTTAAATTTTCTTATTTGTGAAATGAAGCGTTAACGGGGTTTTTTATTTTTATTTTTATTTTTTTATTTTTAAGTTTATGCCGTTACTATTTATGTTTTTTACTTGGATGCTCCATAGGTAATATCGTTAGCAACTTAATGTTTGCATTTATCATTATCATTATTTCACTTTTTTTATAATTTTAGTTAATTATTATTCTTCTATTGTTTTTATTTATTTTAATTCAAATAATGAAAAAATAGAAAACAAAAAACAAAAACTCAAACACCAAAATTGTAATATACTCTAACATATTAATACATTTTACACTTTTCATCTTTTATTGGTTTTTTCGTATTTTTTTTAAAAAAAATTTCGTATTATTTTTTAATTTTTCCCTAATTTTTTTCGTTGTTTCGTTTTATTTTTCACCAATTTGATAACTTTTTTGACCTTTTTAAAAAATGTAAACTGTATGAATATATTAGAGTTTATTACAATTTTGGTGTTTGAGTGTTTTTGGTTTTCTATTTTTTTTATTTTGGTTATTTATGATTTTTGTAACTTTTTCTATTTTGATTCAAATAAATATAAAAGTTATATTTATATTTGTTATTTCGGTCCACTTTTTTTTCTTTATATTTTTTTCTTCTTTAGTGGTTATTTTATATATGTTACGGCAAATTAAAATTAAAAAAAATCAAACAATTTGTCTATTGAGAATTAATGTTTCAGTGTGTGATATTTGTGATTTATACTTATTAAAATAGAAAATTAGCTAATATTTTTAAAATGTAACTTGCAAATTAAATGCTATTTCTATATGAGATATAAATAGTTTAAATTGAAGATAATATTTTTCAATTTAATAGTAGACTAAATGAAAAAATAAGATTAATAATAAGAGTCAGACTCTACAAAAAAAGTTGTTACAATATTTTAAATTGAAGTTTTTTTTTATTTACTTGAATCAGAATAAATGTACAATGGTAAAATAGTTTTTTTCATAAAAATGTAACAGTTGAAAAGTTAGATTTAACGGAAAAGTTAGATTTAACGGCATGATGACCATTCATGAAATTTTGTAAACCATAGGGACCAATGACATGCTATTTTTCATGAAAGTTCTCAAAATGAGATATTTTGCTCACCACAGGGACCAATTATAAAATTGTATTTTTTTAAATTATTATAAAATATACTAAAAATAAGGATTTCGGAAAACTTGACGGTGATAAATATGTGATTTCAGAATTAGGTTAGAAAAATACGTTATTCCGATATTTAAGAAGGATATATACAAAATTTTTATTTTTTAATAAAGTAGCCATAAACTACATTTCTTGGATTCAAAACAAAATTATTGCTATTCGATTGTAATATCTCCCGTAACGTGACTAGTAAAATATACAACTTGTAAATATAAAAATATCAATTAATTTTTACTAATCGTTATATATATATATATATATATATATATATATATATATATATATATATATATATATTAAGTATTAACTACATTTTAAAACTATCAACTAACTTAACAATTATCACTTGAATTTGTAATTTTTGCTAATGACAAAACGACCTATGAATGGAATCCAGCTCAGCAAAAAGCAACATCAGATCATGGAACCCCTTGTTGATCGTAAAGACACAGACACACTACAATTAAAATTACACTGACACACATAGGATACGTACTCCATAACTCCAACCGGATAGTTTTGTCATTTGTGCCGTTCCAAAGTTGTCTATCCACAGTAGGCTTACTGTGTATACCAGCACACACTTGATCTCAACCGTCCAATCTCTGCCAGCCACAGCAACCACATTATAGGTGGTAAAATTGTAAATACTTCCCCTCATATAGACATATACCACCTTATAAAATAGTATTTTTAATATATTTTACCCTTATATAGAAACAGTCGATAGTTTAACAAAAAGAACAAAACAAACATCTCTTATACTAGTAGGTAGGAGCGATTTTCATAAATAAATCACTTGAAACATATATATTATAAAAAAGTAGATGATGTTCCTTCTTTGATGTATCATATTCATAGCTAAAGATTTTATAAAAAAAGTAACACATGCAAGTGTAAAAAAATAACCAAAAAAATGGAGCTTTCAGAAAAATAACAAAGTATGCATGTTTTTCATTGGATTAAGCCAAAAGCATGGAATCTAGAGGAAACTCGAGACTTAGAACTTCTAGAAAGTTCATGATTATAACATATGGTATGAAATTTGAGCAATGCTAATTTCCTAGTTCTATAATTGAGCTAGAAGAGATGAGTCCTATCCCACATATATTTTTTTATGGGATCGATCATAACCTGATTAACCTCTACCAAATTTAATGACTTCTATGCCTCAAGCATCACAGATGTGATCAAATCAACTTAGCACAATAGATGAATCAAAATCAAGTATATTCCCTTGTGTCCTTGAAGGAAAAAGGAAAAAGTGTTAGTAGGCAAGTCATAAATGTGAAGTTTACATTGATGACAAGTTCCACACTAATAATTACAATTTTGTTCGCTGAAATTTTTATTTTTACTAAATGGTGTTGTATTAGCTTGGATGAGCACCAAGTAATACACAATAGTGGATTTTAAGATTGAAACTTTGAGTATATTGCATCTTTTCAAAATGCGAAGGAAACTATGTGAGTGAAAGAAATTCATTAGCGGCATCATTGTTGAAATTCAATCTTTGATGGTCCTATGAAAGTTCTTGTGACTATAAGGGTGAGCTTACCTGAAGCATAGATACCAAGTCACACAAGCTCACATGTCATATACTAAAGAAGTATCATTACATTGTTGTTCAAATGTGAAGACATCATTATTAATAAGATCATATCGGAAGATAATATTGCCGATCCATTCACTAAGCCAATGTCACCAACCAAGTCTGTTAGTCATAAAAGTTCTTGAGACATTTTATCTACAAATGAATTGGCTTAACCACTTGTGTTTGTTTGATTTATTTCAAAAACATATAACATTATGAATTGTAACCGTTTTGATGTTTATTTCATATATACTTAAATAAGCGCATGTGTTGCTATAGAAGTCGTGTTATTCATTATCGTGTTTCACTTTTGCATGTTTTGAAACCACTTCTAGAATGATAATTTTTGTTAATTATATTCAAAACTCCATAGTCGGTTGTACTCTCGGGCATGAGTATTGGAATTTAAGACTGTCATGAGTGTTAGTTGATTGGACCATACAAGATTGGACATTGCTATAACACTACACGTGTACTTGAAATGTATATTTTAAGTATTGGAACAACTCACACTTAGAGATTACTTCATGGATCTAGTCACGAGTAATTCTAAGAAGATAATTGAAGGTTTATGATGATCATATACACTTCAAGTATTAATAAGAAACGTAAAACTAACCTAAGCAAAATAATCAACAGAAAGTAAATAACACATAAGTTCTCCAAATTGTTCATTTCACAAAGAAAAGAGGTTTTTTCTTCACAAAGAAGACGGTTACAAAGATGATTGACACAAAGCCGTGTTCTATAACATTAGGGTTTTCCCTAATGTTGTATATATATTAATCTATACATGTATATCCCATGATTGACATGATCTAATCTATACTAAGAACCGATCTTATCACAAAGATACTGAATCTGTGATCTATTATATATTTATCTATATCATTACCTAATATACAAAGAATACATAGAATATCTATACTAAGTGATGACGCTGGTAAACTTGATACGATGGCGTTGTCGATGTGCAGAAGTTGACACTGATAGATCAACGTGTCATGTGTTTGACTCATCAGATCATAAGGTGTGACCTTACAATCTCCCCCTATCTGACGATGTCAAAACTCATCATCTTCTTAT